ATTCAATGTCTCCACCAAAGGTCTTATCCATGAGATAAGGATTTGCTCCCACCTTTCTTTTTTAAGTTTATTTATTTATTTTGAGAGAGACAGAGACAGTATGAATGGTGGAGGGTCACAGAGAGAGGGAGACAGAGAATCCCTAGCAGGGATTCCGCACTGACAGTGCAGAGCCAGATACAGGCTCCAACCCACAAAACTGTGAGATCGTGACCCGATCGAAAACCAAGAGCCGGACACTTAACTGACTGAGTTACCCAAGCACCTCTCCCATCTTTTAAATTTATATTATAGTTTTCCTACACAACTTGAACACTGCTAATGGTCCCAGCCATCTTGGAGTGAAGGAGTTCTAAAAAGCGCATAAATTCCCAAGAGCTATTGATGCTTGATAGCTTACCGTATGCCTGATGCTAGACTGAATCCTTTGAACACATTCACTTTTCTTACCCACAGGAGTTAGGTGTTTTGCAGATAGTAAAATTGAAGCTTCAAGAAATTAAGGGGTTTGCTACTTGTTTAGTTAAGTGGGATGCGTCAGGATGTGAACCTAGGCTATCTAATGCCAGAGTCCATTTGTCTTGAGTGAGTGTGTGTGTAACTACAACTATATATGTAGACTCAGGTCACTCAGAAAGATTGACATGGGAGCTTAACAGACTCTTCCAGTCTTCGTGTCATCTCCATTCCATGTGAAAACCCCATCTCTAGCCTTTGCATTGGGGAGACTGTTCTCAGGTTAATTAACTTTACTTCTCGCTCCAGAATCTAGAAAGAACAGGCTTCCAGCATTCCTGGTCTAGCATCCTCTACCCTGCTCCTGTCATCCATGTGCAATGGTTCATTCCCCAGAAGTAGGTCAAAGTTGCCCGCCTCAAAAACCACCAAATGCTGATTCCTCACCAATGGGATTTTTATGGGTAAGCTAATGGGATTTTCATTTCATTGATGACTCCGTGAGATAATTTATCTGATTGGAACCTGGAACCCAGCCTACTCTCCACACCTTCCTTTACAATATCAATAGTCTTTCATTCATCATTTATTCATTCATTCATTTTATGACATTATACTACAATTTGGAATAGAAAACATGACTATACAGATGATACCTTTATGTTGCTCACAGACTTATGGAGTATTCCTCCTCTCTACTTCCTTCCTCCCAAGGTCCTAAATGACTTCATCTCTACCCTCAACATGTAGGGTTTCCGACTCCTCATTACATTTGCTATCTCCATTCCTTAGGGAGGTAGGTGTACCCCCAGACCCTCAAATCTAGCCCAGTATTTCCTCTAAACCATATGCTTATTATTATTTTTTGTGTCTTTCTTATAATTTATAAACCCAAAGCAGTCATCTCATCAGCTGCTGACTCAGACTCCACACTGTGGCTTTCAGGGCCCTCCAATTCTGAAAGGTGTCTACCCTGGCCTCACTCTCTGGGCTGATCAAACTGTTTATCTTGAGTCCAGCACTAACAATGATCTGAATGTACCAGCTTTTTTTCAGACATGTCCTGGCTGTTCTCAGTTCGTTCCAGTCTTGCTGGTCACCTCTATTTTCATTTCTGCCTTTATTTGTTTCCTGACTTAGTGACTGTTCCCAGCACCAAGCCTCCACCTTGAACCAATCTAGTTGCACTGGTTTGACCATTAGCACATTTCCCTAGGTGCAGTTTTACATTTGCACTTTCACTCAGTCTGCTTTGACCTGCTCCCAGTAATTTCCTTCCTGCTGAAGGCTTGGTCATCTTTGAGGAAAACTAAGACAGTTGGTACATTACTCATTCAAGCATACCTCCAGCCAGTCCTTTCCTTGTATGCTTTTTTTCCCCCCTTCTAGTGAACGTTTAGTGATTTGACATTTTCTGCTAAGGAAATTATATGCCATTTTATAGAAATTTCAAGCTAAGGATTTAGAGGAATATTTTAATTGAATGGACTGACTCTTGGTTATGACATACAGAATTAACAAAACCACTCTGTCACTGAGGACTGGTATCATTAAATACTGCTGAAAAAGTAAAAGACCTAAATAAATGGAGAGATCCACTGTGTTTGTGGACTAAAAGACTCAATATTATTTAGGTATCAATTATCCCAAAATTACTCTACAGATTCAATTTAATCCCAATAAAAATTCTAGGTTTGTTTTTTTGTTTTGTTTTGTTTTTTTTGGTCAAATTGAGAAGCTGATTCTAAAATTTATATGGAAATGCAAAGACATAGGGGCGCCTGAGTGGCTCAGTTGGTAAAGCAACCAACTCTTGGTTTCTGCTCAGACCATGATCCCAGGGTCCAGAGATAAAGCCCCGCTTTGGGAGTGCTGGGCACAGAGCCTATATTGAGATTTTCTCTCTCCCTCCTTCTGCCTTTCCCCCACTCACATGCATGCACTCTCTCTCTCTCAAAAATAAATAATTAAAATTTAATTTTTTTTTTAAATTCAGAATGAGAAATGAATAATATATTTGGGGTTCCTGGATGGCTCAGTCCATTCAGCATCCAACTCTTGATTTAGGTTCAGGTCATGATCCAAGGATCCTGGGTTCCAGGCCCTCCTCTGGCTCCTTGCTGAGCATGAAGCCTGCTTAAGATACTCTCTCTCTCTCCCCCCCCCTTTCTCTTCCCCCCTCTGTCTCTCAACAAAAAAATTAAAAAAGAAATGAGCAAAGGACCTAGAATAACCAAAATAAGCTTGAAAAAAATAATAAAACTGGAGAACTTAGGCTACCCTATTTTGAGACTTGCTAATAAGCTACAGCAATTGAGACAATATGATACTGGCATAACAGTTGGAACCCTCACACATTTGTAGTATTAGAATATAAAAATGGTAAAAACCATTTTGGGGAACTGTTTGGCAATTTATTATAAAATTAAACATATACTTCCCATATGACCCCAAAATTGTGTTCCTAGGCATTTACCTAAGAGAAAAGATAACATACGTCTGCTTGAAGACTTGCTCAAGAATGTTTATAGCAACTTTAATCAAATTATTCAAAAACTGAGAATAATCTAAATGCCTCCTAACAGGTGAATTGATAAATAATCTGTAGTATATTACAGATTGACATACATGGATGGTCCTCCAAATATACAGTTATGTGAAAGAAGCTAGGCACAAAAGAATACATACTGTGTGATTCCAGTTATATAAACTTCAAGAACATGCAAATTAATTCATGGTTACATAAGTTAAAACAGTGTTTGGGGGTTTGGCTGCAAAGGAACACCAGGAACTTCCTGGTGTGATAAATATACTCCATCTCTTCACTGAATTGGCAGTTGGACCAGCGTAAACATTTGTCAAGATTCATGGATCTGTACATACAAAATGTATGTATTTCATTGTTTATAGATTACACATCAAATGAAGAGATTAATATCAGGGGAAACACATGAAGGTATAGGAATAGATGGTCAATTTTTATTCAATGGATGGAACATCAGCAAGCATGTTATAAAAATTAATTTGTATTTGGTTACAAAAAAAAATATAATTCTTTCTTGACCATTCTTCCTTTTTAACTATACAAGCCCTGGCCAATATTGAGATTTCAAGCATTGGCTAAGAACACACTCATTTGGAAACAGAGTGAAAGCCTGGAAGTCTGCTAGACAGTAACTGAAAACTGTCTTAAAAGTGTATCTGGGGCCATCTGGGTGGCTCAGTCGGTTAAGGGTCCGACTCTTGATTTCGGGTCAGGTCATGATCTCAAGGTTCTTGACATCAAGTCCTGCATTGGCTGTGCTGACAGGCTGACAGCGGGAACCTGCTTGGGATTCTCTCTCTCCACCCTTCTCCTTGTCTCTGCCCCTCCTCACCCCAAACAAACTTAAGAAAAGGTGCATCTGATCAAAGATAGTCCAAAATAAGATAGTCTGTTTAGCACACAAAAATAACTCTGGTCTGCCCTTCTTCTAGCTTGGATATTTTACAAAATTGATTACTGCATTATGGTTCATTAAGTACCTAACATTGTGTCTAGCTCTGAGCAAAGGGTGAACAAATATTTCATAAATGAAGTACTCCACTACTTATGCACCAAGGTGTTAAATGAAGATAAAGAAGAGACCCTAAATCAGCTTAACTGAGGAGGGCAGGCTTCCAGGAATATGTCAAACTGATGCTTGAAAAAATAAAGTGGTGAGTGAGGGGTACACTCCACAGTGCACTTGGCCACTGATTTGACCATGCCAGTAGATCAGCCTTCCTATTTGCCAACCCTTCTCCACCGCTACCCTCACCAAAGAGGCTAGGTATTCAGTAATAGGTAATAAATAACATTTATTATTTTATATGATTATAACTAAAAATGGTAGATATTATTATTTGATTATTCTAATCAAAAATCAGTAATAATGCGTTCATTTATTTTTTCAACCTTTTTTGAAAGCCTGCTATGTGTCACGCACTGTGCAAGGCACTGAAGTTACCGTACTTGAGAAGGTATGGTCCCTGTCGTCAAGAAAGGTGTGCTTTCAAATCCAGCCTCCAGAAAGTCAGCAGGTGACAGACGTCATGTTCACCTAGGTTGCAGGAGGAGCATTTCTCCCTGGCTGCCATTCCCTGGGCTCCAAGCTTTTTTCCTTCCCAGGAGGCAAAAGCATCTGAGCCGGAAGCATCTCCCGCTCCAGCCGGGAGGTGGCGACCTGCAGCCGACGACGCCTCGGGGTACTTAGGTTCAAAGCTCCACTTGGGGGCGCTCTCGTCTGGCTCGCAGGCCGCCCTTCTCCACCGGCGGAACATTTGGCTGGGTCTCTGGTTTCTGCAGGTTTCATAATCCGCACGCACCCGGCACTTCCGGGCTTCCGGGCAGCCTCCTGCGGTTTGCTGGGCCTCGAAAGGGGAGCCTTTCCGCTGAGCGCTAGAGAAAGCGGACTCCTGAGAGCCCAGGTTTCCGGCGGGCGTCTCCGCCCCTCTGCCCCTCAATTCCCGGAGCTCGGGTCTAACCCGGGCCGCTCGCTGGGCGTCCTAGGAAGGCAGGGGCGATGGTCCAAATGGAGACGCAACTGCAGAGCATTTTTGAGGACGTGGTGGTGAGTGGAGCCACCAGGGATAAAGGGCAGTGGCCGGGCGAGGGGGACACTCGGTGGCTGACTCAAGGAACCCGGTCCAGGCAACCTGTCCCCTTCCTCTCCTTTGTTGTGACACCGTGCATGTCCGCAAGGGTTTAGGAATCTCCAACAGCTGTCAACTTCAAAGTCGCCTTTGAAATCCACAATACCCTTCGTGACAGACCAGGCCGGGATTGTTATTTTGTGTGTGTCTCTGATTGAGTTGATTTGTCCTATGTTACATTGTAGTGTTTTTCTCGAGGAGGTCCCTCCTTTTTTCTTCTTCTTTTGTTTGTTTTACATCGTTTGCTTTTTGTTTTTTACAGAAAACGGAAATTATAGAAGAGGCTTTTCCTGGGTGAGTATATATGCATTGCAGATTTTTGTGTTTTTACATGAGTGTATTTTTGTAAGATTTTACTTTGGTTTGTCTTGGAGATATATAAGATCCATAAGATTCTGGTTATGTTGAATTACCGTTTTAGAACTAGTAGCAAATAATCTGACTTTTGTGTTTTAGAATGTTTATGGACACCCCTGAAGATGAAAAAACAAAACTAATTAGCTGTTTGGGGGCCTTCAGACAGTTTTGGGGTGGTCTTTCTCAGGTGAGCACTGCATTTTTATGACATTCAGCTGATGATTTTTGATGCCTTCTTTTTTACATTATTTTGTTGTTGCTGTTAAGGTATTTCTGGAAAGGGAGAAATAAGTTTGTCAATATTTTTTATTTGTATATTCGCTCTTCCATTTGTTTCCATTTGTATTCTTCTAGTGGAGAACCAGTACTGAGAAGTCAAGTTGATAACAGCACAGTGTGAGATGTCTTTAAAAATCTCCCCCATGTTAGATTATATAAAACCATTTTCATCCTATTTTGATTTATTTGGTGCAAGGGAAAAGAGCTGTGGTAGAAGTGTAAAAGATACAAATTTCATTCATTTTCTCAACAAAGGAGCTACAAAGCATTGATACAAAGATACTATGATCCAAGATTCTAAAGTAAAGGTACAAAAAAATGCCACAATAAGGATACTATATTAAAGATACTAAGATATTACAATAAAAACAAGGAAAGGAGCAGTAAAACTTAGTAACAAAGAACAGTCACCAGAAAATATGTTCATGAAAAAGACAAAATGTGTGATCCTTAAAGAGCTGCTGTTCCAGTAGTGTATTATCTTGTCATGGTGCATTATTTGTAGGAAAATGAGAACCGATCCCATTTAAGCCACTGGTGATAAGACTTGCTGCTCAAACATGGGTTACATAATGGCATATATTCTCTTTTTTTTAATTTTTTTTTTTTTTTTATTAGAGACCCTGAGAGGAGAGGGGCAGAGGGACAGAGGGGGAGAAAGAGACAGAGAGAGAGTGTCTTAAGCAGGCTCCATGCTCAGCACACAGCCCGATGCTAAACTTGATTACTTGACCCTGAGATCATGACCTGAGCCAAAATCAAGAGTCGGATGCTCAACTGACTGAGCCACCCAGGCACCCTGGCACATATTCATTTAAAAAAAAAAAAAGTTTTAATTACTTTCTAATAGGTAATATATTCATATGACTCCAAATGCAAAAGGTACCAAAAAGGGGGACCCTACGAATAGTCTGCCTTCTATCTTTCTTAACTTAATCACCTACTTTTTCATGTCAGCAGCCAGTATCCCCAGTTTGTTGCCTTCTGGAAGTATTTTACACATGTAGAATCAATTTTTATAAAACATTCATATAATGTGTACACTGTTCATTAGCACCTTTTTTCCTCTTACTATTAGATTCTGAAAGTAATTCTACATTAATCCATTGAAAGTTACTTCTGCCTTTCATACAGTAGCATAATCCATTATATGACTGTACCTTCCTTTATTTAACCAGTCTCCTACTGAGTGACATTTAGGTTATTTCTTAGGTTATTTAAACAATACTAAATGAATAACAATACTTTAAACAGTACTAAAATGAATAATATTCTGCATAGGACACTGTGCAGAATAAACTCCTGAAAGTAGTATTGGTAGGTTAGAGGGTATGTCTATTTATAATTTTTATACAGATTGCCTAATAGCTTTTCCTAAGGATCATACCAGGCAAGGGGAGAATAAGTGTACCTGTTCCCAGCCTCACAGTAGGGTGTTAATGAATGTTTCTTGATGTTTACCAATATAAAACAGGAGAAATTATATCTCATCATGGTTTATTTTGCATTTCTCTAATATCGAACATCTTTTCAACATATTTTAATTTTTAAATAATTTATTAAACATTTTATGGATTAAGGATGGCCTGTGTGTTCAAGAAGTTTATATTTTAATGGGGGAGCCAGGAAGAAAATAGATATTTCTTTTTTT